AGCGGCTGGGTGGGTGGGGAGGGGAGCGGGGAGGTGGGACGCATGCAGAGAAAGCCCCATGTGTGGAACCTTCATTTTATTGAGTCTCTGTTGCGCCTCTTTTACCCCTCCCCCCTTCTTCCCGTGTCTGTACACGTGTGCATGCGTATGTGAGGGGGTGGGTATGCACACTTTTAATTTTTTGTTTCTTTTCCGCTGTTATGTCTTTCGGGGGCATCTGCAGTACAGCCGTTTTCCTGCTACCCCTCTAACTTCCCTCTGCCCACACCCAGATGTGTGCATGTATTTGAGTGGTGCACAAGCTGGTGTCGTCTCGCGTGTGGTGTTTGGACTTTGGCTCGCTTTTCCGCTTTACTATTTGTCTGTTGTGGGTGTGTGGTGAGGGGGCGTGCGTACAAAGTGTTCGCCTGTCCTCTCAGACTGTGCGATGAACATTGTAACGTCGTACTTTATGGTGAAGCGGCTGTCAGGTAGCGTGTTTATTGGCGAGGCTTCACTGCGACACCGTGTTGCACGGCAGGCAGAGTATATGGACTGCCTTCGACGCAACGCGGCACACGCGGAGGTGGCGGCGCTGCACATTCTCGTCCAGGGAGCCGATGCGTACCGCCACTTTCGTGCGCATGTCCTGGAGGACGAAGGATTTTTCCCGTCCAAAGAAATGCGGCGCAAAATTATACCGGTGCTGCGAGACGAGGTGCAGCCGACCTACGCGGATTTGTTTCAGCATGCCAACCAGCTGCTGCGAGGGGAGCTGACGATGATCTGCAATGCAGATGTTTACCTCCCACAGGCAGGGGCGTCTGTGCAGGAGCTGCGGAAGTTGTTCGATGGCAATCCGGATCGCCATGTCGCAGTGGCGTTGACGCGGTACGAAAGCGAGCACCGCGGTGACGCTCCCCTTATTGAGGACTACAGAGGATCACACGACGCCTTTATCATTCGCCCACCCACAGAGGCGGCGTTTATAGAGGGCGTGCGACACCCGCAAAACTGCTACAAGGCAGAGAATATCGTCTTATACGAGCTGCAGCGCCACGGCTACGTTGTGGTGAACCCGTGCCGTAGTTTCATGATCGTTCATCGCCACGCGGCAGACCTGCGCCAGTGGCTGCCAGCTGTGGACGAGGAGAGGTACGCGCGGGCACCACCTTGCACCATGGCGGAGGCGCTTGACTTGATAGGGCAAAGAGACTGCTAACGATGCTTGGATTTCTTTTTGCCTTTGCTGCTTCCGCTTGCCGTGGCTTGTTTTTCGGTTTTATTTGTTTGTGCGTGTGCACAGCCTTTCCCACTACTCTGGCGGATGCGTCTAAAAATATATGCGGTGTCACACGCATTTTAGACCGCCTCTTAACCTCCCTGCAGCATTTGCATGCTCGCCTTCTAGCTACCTCGGGGGTGCATACTGCCTTACTCCTCGAACTATCTTTTCGTTTTTTGTTTTTGTGATTGTTGGGTCTCTTGCTTGAGAGAAGAGTAGTTGCACCAATAAAACAGCTCCTGGCAGCCAAGCACACACACAAGGGGCGAAGACAGAGTAGAAAGTAATCATATATACGTACGTATTCACCGGTGGTGAAGAGGATTTGCTACTTCCACACACGCGACCACCACTAGTGTTTTTTTTGTTTTTTTTTACATCCCTCTCCTTCTCAGCATCCTTTCTTACGCTTCCCCTCCCACTGTGTGTCCTCAAATGATGGAGGCATTGCGTTTATCGCCTCCTGATACGACAAACTCATCGAATAATTCCTACATCATGGCACAGCCGGTGAACCGTCACGAGAACGACCCTCGTTGCTTGTGCAATCCCCAGAGAGAGCCGTTTTACAGCCAGCTCTCACAACATAAGATGGGGTCGTTCGGGTTCAGTGCCTCTTCAGTGCTTAGTGGTATTCGGCTAAGCTTTCGCTACACAGCATCGGACGTTGCACGCCGCCCACGCAACTGTGCTATTGGGGTTGTGGCAGTTCTTCTTCTTACCTTCTTTACTGGTATTGTTTTGTTGTGCATATGGAAGGTGCCGTACATTCTGCTGCGTCTCGCAGAGTTAAGTGTGGGGGAGGTGGACATGGTTGTTATGGGTGGCAGCGCTGATGGTCCGTTCATTAACTACACCGCGATGAAGTCACAACTTGAGCATTCACCCCAGGTACACGGCATCGCCCCACGGTGGGTTCTTCGCGCACTCGCCAGAAAGCAGCAAACCGGATTTAGCAGACAGACTGGACGTGATCCTCCTTTCACGGAGACGGCCAACGCGAATGTTCTTGTCATTGACAGTGAACAAGAGCGTGCCATCGGTATTGGGCGGTCATGGAGGCACCGCGATACGGGATTTGCGGAGGCGCATGTATTTTACTCTCTCTTGGAGTATCTGCAGCTTCGTCCAAACCACGGTGAACGTATGAGCATTCATATTTCACCCCAGCTTCTTCTGCATGGTCCCTACGCCCGAAACGAGTCTCCGATGTTTCGTATCCACAGGCCCAAAAAGATCAATGATCTAAGTTCTTTTCTTGTCCTTCAATTTTTTCTCATGAACGGCATTACTGAGGACTCTTTTAGCCTTTTGGATGTTTTGAACCTTGAATTTGCCGTGAACGTGTTGGATGGCATCGAGAGTGCAAATGGAAAATACCCCTTCCTCCTTGGCAACGTTGTGGTCATGGACTACAAGCTGATTGTGCCCGCCCTTGCCGAACAGAGATGTGCGCTGGGGTCGCAGATATTTTCACCCTCTATTGGGTTGAAGCTTCCGTCACTCACCGACCTCCTTGGCGTTCCTGAGATGTTGGCTCAGTTTAATCTTCTGGAAATGGTTCCTATTGTCGTGGTCACAATGAAGAAACGACGCAGCATGTATTACCTGCCCATGACGGAGCGCACACAGGAGATGATGGAGCGGAGCAACGCCATCATGATTCATGGGGTGGGGGCGGACTTTAATGGTTCTGTGTATTTTCCCGTGGACGCTGTCCTGAGCACCTTTGAGACGCTAAATATCATGCTGCTCTCCTCGCTTATCTGTGTTGTGATTGGCATCGCCACACTCTGCACCATCTTGTTTTACTCCCTTCTCAACACAAATGTGGAGGAGCGTCAGTTTGAGTTTGCCATGATACGGGCCCAAGGCATGAACAAAAGGCACCTCTTCACGCTTCTCATGACACAGTCATTGGTCTTCATTATTCCCGGTGTTTCTCTCAGTGTAGCTCTCCTGGTGGGGATTAATGCCCTTCTGGAGAGGCTGCTCTCGCGATTTACAGCTGTGTCTCCTCGTCTGGCATTCTTACCATTGACTCCCATGTTGTTAGCGCTGGCACTGGGTGTTTTTCTGCCGCTGCTGGCAGGTTGGTCCCCGCTTTCGCGTGCGCTTGGGGACAGTCTACGTGATGCCCTTGACGTTTACCGCCAGGTGCAAAATGAGACGCGGGTGGTGATGATCAGGTTGGAGCAACTTGGGATTTCCACCTTGCAGGTGTTTCTTGGCGCAGTTCTCGTTGTCTCAGGGTTTATTGTGTACTACATGATTCCACTTAGCTTTGTTTTTGGCAACATGCAGTTTCTGTTCCTGCTGCTGGATTTAATATTTGTTATGATGGTGGTGGGGATATGCCTCGCCATGTATGTTATTGAGCCGTACATGGAGCGGGGACTGCTCTGGTTGATGGTCTGGGGCACGGAGAAGCGGTTTTTGACTATTGTCAAGAAGAACTTGTACGATCACCGACCCCGCAACTCAAAGGTCTTCATGATGGTGCTGGTCAGTGTGAGTACGCTTCTCTCCTCTGGTGTGATGTTTGTGCTGCTGTCCACTGCCTCGGACGACATGACGCACATATTTAACGGCGCGGACATCACCGTCATCTCCTCATCATTTAGTGCACCTCTTGACGAAGGCGGGTTGAACGCCTTTCTGGAGCAGCGACGTGGGGTGTACGTGGAGGATTGGGCCTACCACAGCTTTCCGCTTCACAACTACCCGCAAATAGTGCAGCCCTCACGACTATCCACCGTCATTGGAAACGGCTGTGATGTGCACATCGTGGCGGTGACAGAGCGTTTTTTTAACACCATCTTTCCAGATTACATCATTGAAGAGGCCAGGGACCCGCGGTACACGTACAAGCGCACAGTGGACGGCAAGTACGACCTGGTGCGCAGCATATATGAAGATCCGCCTGTGCCCACGAGCACGGCCGCCCATCTCGTTGCGACAGGGATGCCGTGGGAGGCGAGTGTGCCAAACACAGTGATGAAGAAGTCATACATTATTCCCGCCTTGGTGGCGTCTGCCATCCGCGACGAGATGGGGACCGAGGTTGGGAGCGTCATGATACTGGGATACAAGTACAACGTTGCAGACGTGCTCTCGACGGCCAGCTTTGCGGTCGAACCACGAGGTCTCATGAATCGTGTGTCAGGGTTTCCCGACATCTCGTCGTTCCCCGCCACACTGGCCAACAGTGAGGTGCTGGTCCCGCAGGCGTACTTCAAGACTCTGGTGAGCCCCTGGACCATTGACTACAGCACGAAGACCAACATTGAGCTGGCACCCGGCACTGTTACGGAGATTAGGCAGAAGAAACTGTTTGTGCGCTTGCGCAAAGACATAAGTGCGGCAAAACGCATCACCTTTGTCAATGAAATTCAGGCACACCTGAACCTTATTTATCATACGGTGAGCGACACACAGGCGTCGACAGAGGAGTTGAGGGTAATCCGCGATTTCATTATGTACTTCTTCTACTTTACCTCCGTGATATGCATCTTATTGTGCGCGTTAATGGTGTGGATAACGTTTGTGTCAAACGTGCGTCTTAACGCACGAACGTTTGTGCTGCTACAGGCTTTGGGGTGCCGCAAGTGTGAACTTGCTCGCGTCATCCTCTACGAGGCCCTCAGCATCGTCCTCTCCGCATTTATGCTTGGCTTTATTGTGGGTATTTTGGTGGGCATGGCGTTGGGACTTCAGTTAGCAGTGCTCATGGTGCTTCCATTTCGCTTTAGTGTACCCTGCATGTTGGGCGGTGTGCTTTTCAGCCTCAGCATCATCGCTGCGGTGATTGGTTCCATGCTGCCCTTCAGTGCAATCGCTAAGAAGCGCATTGGCTCGGTGCTAAGGGCCGTGTGATATGCACTTCTGCGCACACAACACAGACACACGCACACACCACCCACACAAACCCGCATGTACGTACTTACATATGTGTAATTCTGTGGCACAAACTTGTTTTTGTTCTTTCGAGTAAGTGCCATTTATATGTAATATATACATATAAATGTGTGTGGTCGTTGATATATGAGTACGCATATGAACTATATTGTTTTACTATTATTATTGCTGTTCGGATGGATTTTTATCCTTTTTCCCCCCTTTTTAATCACCAACATTTCCAGTGTGCATGGACATGGCCCCATCCCCAGTGCATCCAGGACCGTGATGATGCTCTTCCCCTCGTTCACTGTTGTGTCTGTGGCGCGTGAGTTTGGTGGTTTAGTACGGCTTTGCTCGTCTTAGTGACGTCTGTTGCCATGTTTTTTTTGTTTGTTTGTTTCGTTTGTTTGTTTGTTTTTTGGGTTGATGGTCTCTCTTTTATGTATTTGGCGCTGAAGCGCCTGATATTTGCTTGTGTGATTGTTATTGCTTTTTTTGTTCGGTTGGTTGAGCCAACCCCGTCAGGTATGGTGAGACGCGGATAGCGGAAAGTAAACAAAAGACGTGCTGGGCGGGCACCAAGGCGCGCTGCTTCTTCCGTTGGAAAGTTTGAACTTTTCTGTCAGCTGGTCGGGTGCTGGGAGTGCCCAGGCGAGAGGAACGCGCGAGAAATAGCCGTATAGTATATTTTTTTTCCTTATTAAATGAAGCGAGTATGGCGGGAGTGAAAGAAGCCACAAGAGATATCGTCAGTGCCTTCGTGGGGAAGTTCTTGTCTCTTTCAGTGCGCACATCCGCTGCTTCTTCTTCTTATTTCGTTGTTGTTATTTGGCTTTACAGTTGTGGTCAGCAGTTTGCGTGGCACCTGTGCCTCTCTCCCTCTGTGTGTGTGTACTGGGAGGGGGTGGGTGAGGCGGTCGAAGTTGTTGCGAGTCCGCGGAGGTGTGCTGGCGGCTGCCGTTGTTTCTCCCCGCACGTTCCTCCCCTCGGTGTTCCTCTCTCCCTCTCGCCATGCACGTGACACCAAACAAACTGGCAGGGCAGTCTCTGCGGCGCGTCCCGATTCATGGCATCTGCGGCTACGCACCCGGCAACATCCCTGCCTACAGCAACGGCATGGGTGCCACCATCACCGCCGAGCGCCACTACGAGCGGCATTACTTCATGGGATACAAGTGGCAGTGCGTGGAATTTGCCAGGCGTTGGTTGTTCTACCGCAAGGGTTTGGCGCTACCACAGTACGACTTTGCCGCCCACTTGATCTACCTACGGGAGGTGCGAGATGTGTGCACAGGTGCCGCGGTGCCGTGCCGCTTCATTCCGCAGGGATCAACGGAGCCCCCGGAGGCCGACAGCCTGATTATTTACCCTGGATGCAGGAAAAACATTGTGGGTCACGTGGGCGTAATCACGCATGTTACCTCGACGAGCGTGCAGGTGGCCGATCAGAACCGTTTTTTTCATCATTGGGGCGATAACTCTTTTTCTGCGGAATTTCCCCTGGAGTGTGTAGAGGATCGCTACTACATCCGTGACCCTGACGCGGTAGAGTGTCGTGGGTGGATCGTCTTCCCGGGGCAGCCCAACCGCCTGGATGGGAGGCCGCTCCAGTTAGAGCCGCACATGTCTGGTCCCCCGTCCCTTCCGTGCGCGCGACGCGTCGCGTACGTGGTACAGCAGTTGTGGTCGTGGTGCACCGGACGCGAGATTCCCACATTCTCCCCGCTCTAAGCGTGTTGTGTGCCTAGAGCACGAGTGCCATATTCCGTGGTGTCTTTTTTGTTTGTTTGTTTCTTTTTTTACATCTTGATGCCACGTCCTTTTTTCCTTTTTGAAATATTATATTATATTATATTACTTTCTATCTGTGCCGCGGTGGCGGGAAGGCGGCTCTCGAGAGGGACTGTTTGCTGCTGCTGCTTCTCGCGTCTTGTTGATTTCTCTTCGTGGTTGGGTGCTCTCTCCGGTGTGGCAAGGATAGGAGAGAACGTGTGGAAAAGGGGGAAAGGGCTCACATGTACGCTGCGCATCATCGCGTGGCCCCGTTGCGCCGTGGGGACGTCACAGCGGGGCGTCGTTGTGCACCCACCCCGTGCGACTCATTTGTCCCCACACCAATGGGGACGCGGGAGGATCCGCACACACAGCGCAACACCCAAGTGCGCTGCGGAGCAGTCTCGTGTCATGCCGTGGCCCCCGCTGGCGTCTACTCCCCACCGGCGCCGCTGCAGCAGTCGCGGCTGGCGGCTCCGCCTACCTCAGATCCGTTGCGGAGCTCACAGATGTCGATGCATGCGGCATCAACACCGACGACGAGTACAATGCCACTCACACAAGTGCAGCTGGGCGATGCCTCATCCTTGCAGGCCACACTCTCGCAGGCGTCACGCCATCACAAGGAGACCGCCTCGGCGCTTCTCTCCCTGGCGCAGTGTATGCAGCAGCAGGAGAAGCATCTTGCTTCCAACTCGCATAGCCTCTCACACCTCGCTGCTCTCGTTGACAGTCAGCATGCTCAGGTGACGGCGCTGCATAGCCTCACTACTGAGGTGCGAACCATGGTGGCGGCGATTCGTGATGCGGCGGCAGTTCTACAGAAAACACAAAGTGTTAAGGAACCTCCCACACCTCGACGCAACTCCGTTCGTAATCAACCCCGCATACGGCAGTTGGCACCAACGGCGGCCCCTTCTACCCGTTTTGGACTCGTGCTTGGCGCCGACTCCCCTTTCATGACGCCGTGCGCGCGAGGGGAGGAGGAAGAAGAGCAGGGGATGTTTGAGAAGGGAGGGGCGGCGCACGTTTGCCACTCGCATCGTTCGCAGTTTATGCTGCAAGCCACGGAAGGGTGTGCAGCGGCATCGGAATTCATTGAAGACGATATCTTCTCCATGTGAAAATTCACTTATGCTCTCCCCTGTAATGCCGTCTAATTCCTCTCGCCAACTGCATCTTCACAACTTTCTAATTAAAGAAGCCGAAGGTCGTGCTGTGGTTTTTCCCCGCGCACTCCTTTACTCACGACGGCATGTGTGTGTGTGTGTGTTTAGTTGTTTATTTTGTTTCCCATCGGGGGCTGCTGCAAACCCCCTTCCTTTGCCCCTTCCTTCACGTGGCTACGCGCGTGGAGGTGCGTGCATGCACAAGTGAGTGTACAGCGCAGTAACATTGTTTTTATTTATTTATTTTTTATTATTATCTGTTTTCCGTCTTGAAGACGAGGGCACCAAGCCAATGAGTCTCCTCCGTGGTGTACAGACACGCCACACTGCGCCTTTGTTGGTTTGTTGCTGCCCTTTTTACCCTTTCTTCTCTCTTTGTGTGTGTGTGTGTGTGTGTGGAGCATCCACCGCAAGGTTCACTCTTGAGAAGTGTGGTGAATGGGCTCTGTAGGTGCTAACTGGAGAACGACGCTCCAAGACGATATCGGCGCCTCGGAGGCGGCGCTGCAGCGTCTGCGTGGACGGCAGACCAATCGCGAAACGGCACGAAAGCAGCTCTTATCGGCCTTTAACGTCCCGTACGTGTCGTCGCTGGACGTGCCGCCGCACCTCCCCTCACCACAGGGCGAGCTCGCAGACAAAGTGAACTGTATTCAGTCACAGGTGAAGAATTTCCTGACTGAGCTTGAGACTGAGCGAACTGTGCGCTCTGATGGCGTCCGCGAGCTGCAGCGGCACGTCTCCATTCAAGTGGGGGAGCTGAAGGCGATGTTTCAGCAGCTCAAGAAGGAAAATGAGTACCTGACGGACACTGTCCGAGTGCTGGAGCGACGAGTGACATCGAACGCCGCAACTGCACCCCGTGGGCGTGTGGACGTTTTTGTCGATGCCGATATCTCTGGCGCTGCAGCGAATCCCGCCTCCGCTGGCCTCGTAAAACGTGTGGAGGAGCTGGAGTCCACCGTGACGCAGCAGCGGCGGCTGTTGGAGGACCGCCAAACGCGACTGGACGGCGTTCTTCGTGAGATGGTGGGGGTGAGGGTTGATTCCGGCATGGAGCGTGTGCGGTCGGTTGCACGGGATGTCGCCAGGGACTCTGTCGAGGATGTACTGCGGCTGCGCCTTGCCGCAGTGCAGAATATGTTTAACGGTGAGTTGCAGAAGGTGATGCAGACCAGCGGGGTCACTGCCGAAGTCGCGAACGCCACGGAGAGGTTGTTTCATCAACTGGAAAAGGATCTCCTGCGGCGCGTGCAGGAGATTGACGCTGCGGTGAATGCTGTTTCGCACAATAGTCGTCAGCACGAGGCAGTCCTTAACGATGTGGAGCGTCGCATCATGCAGAAGGTAGCCGTTTTGGAGCGGGAGGTGGAGGCGTCGCGGCGGGAGACCCGGGACGGCATCGCACAGAACGCACAGGCGGGGGAGGAGCGCACGGCCGCCATCCAGCTCGCCTTCGAGTCTGCCGTGGCCGAACGCATCACCGTGGCGTGTCAGAGCGCAGCCAAGAAGGAGGATATCGTAGCAGCTGTCACGGCATTGGAAGAGCGACTCGAGCAGCAGTGCGCCGCCGTGCGCGATGGTCTCACTGCGGCGATGCGAACGCATGACACCGTTGCTGAGGTGCATCACAAGCGGGTGACACGGTTGGAGGAACGCCTGAATGGGATTCAAGACGCCACAGAAGAGGTGCAGCGGCAGATCGCTCATGTTGACCAGCTTGTGACAGGGGCAACAAGGGAGGCAGAGAAGTGTAGGCAGCGCGTCCGTGAGGCCCTCACAACAAGCGAGGAGGCGCGTGCCGTGGCAAGCGACTTTTCCATCTGCGTCCAAAAGGCGGAGGACGCGGCGCGCGAAGGTCTCGCCCGCACCGGCGTTGAACTGCAGCGACTCACGCAGGAGCAGGAGAGAAGCGCCGCCCAGGTTCGCCAGTTGGGTGAGAAGCTCATTGCGGCTGAGGCGCACCAGGCCGCCATGCGTGTGGTGCTGGATGAGCTTAGGGGTGCGTGCACGAATACCGTGCCACTGCTCACCGCGAGGCTGGACGCGGTGCATCGGACAGTTCAGGAGGTGTGCATTCCCAAGCTAGAAGAAACGGCACAGGCTGTCGCGGAAGTACAGACGCGGCAGGAGCAGCTTCAAGCCAACGCCTCCTCTTTGGCGAAAACCGACGCTCGGCAACTTTCTGACCTCCGGCGGGAGTTGTCGAGTGGGATGCAGAGCGTGGAGGAACGTGTTCTCCAGGCCGTGCGTGAAACCCAGCAGGAGAGCAGCATGGCAGTAAGTCGACTGCGAACATTTGTTGATGGCATCAAGGCATCAGTGAAGGCACAGGACGAACGCTTTGTCACCGAAAGTGCGCTGGACACGATCTCGGGGGAGCTCACAGAAAGGGTATTGGCACTGGAGGACAAGGTGGACGTGGTGGTGCGCCAGGTGAGGGAGGAGGCCAAGACATTGCCATCCTCGACATCGTTAGCTTCTGTGCCGGCGGTGACTGCGTCGCCGCATGGAGAGATAGAACGCGAGGTGGGGAATTTGCGGCGTCTCGTAGAGGATACTCGGCGAAACGCCGCCAGTCAACTGGTGGACATGGAGCAGCAGATACGTGCGAGCATGCAGGAAGAGGTGGAGGGCGTCAAGCAGCTCCTGCATCGTCTGCGTGAGGACAGCTTGTCACAGATGCAAAAGTTGCGTGCAATGCTTAGTGAGGAGGCGGGGGACCAATCTCGGCGCATAGAGGAGGCGGCGCAAAGGGAGACGCAACGCCTTCGAACGCAAATAGACCGCTTGCGTGAAGCATTAGGTCCAAGGAGTCTTGTGTCTGCTCTCCGTGACGACGAGGAACTTTTAAGTGAGGTGGCCGAGGCGTTGCGGTGTGTCTTTGCTCAGAGCAGCGACACAACCGAGGCCATAGCGAGCGTCAAGAAAAGGATTCAGCATGTAGAACAGAGTCTCGGTGAGTTAGACGTCCGTTGCTACGCGCACACGCATGAGTCAGCTCAGCGGATGCAGAAGTACGAGTCCTCGCAGTGCCACCACGCCGATCGGCTGACATTGCTGGAGTCGAAGGAGGAGACTGTGGTGGAGATGGGGAAGCGCTGGCGGGAAGAAGTTTGTAAGGACTGCAAACGAGAACTCGAGCTCTTTTCAATGCAGTTTGATGAGCGCGCAGCCGCGCTGCAGGGCGCCTCTGCAGAGTTGGAGCTTCAGACACGCTCCATGCTGTTTGCGCTGCGAGAGTTGAAGGAGGAGCAAGCGGCGCTGCGGCAGGAGGTTGCTGCGACGGCCGACGCACAGCAGCAGCCCGTAGTGCGGCCTACAGACACGGCGAAGGACGACGAGGGCGAAGACAAAGACAACGATGATGAGGTGTGGAGGTTGCAAATTACGGAGCGTATGGAGGTGTTGGAGTCGAAGACGGATGGCACTGCGTGTTCCACCGCTGACGCATTTGAAACGCTTCGTGAAAGTATCGAACAGTGCGTGACACTCTTCGTGCGGGAGGCGGCAGCCACTGCGCTCTTGCAGGAGTCCAACGTATCTGCTGCAGAGTTGACAGGCTTAGACGGCGTCCTGCTCTTTTTGCTGGAACAACTCTGCCAGCTGCATGATGGAGTGCAGGCGCTTCAGAGTGGCGCTCTGGAAACACTTGAGTTGGTGCAGCACCATGAGGAGCAGTTTGCACTGCTGCCGTTTTTGCGTTCTCTTGCGGTGTGCAGTGCTCGAGACATTAAAAGGCTGTCGGAGGCGATGGGACTTTCCTTGGACCTTCATGTTGACTCCCCCCTTGCTGAGCACGAGGAAGGAGAGCTGGAGTTGGAGGAGGAGGAAGCAGAGGACAAACGCTGATATCGCATGACTTGCTGCTTCTACCGCTTAATGGGTGTGTTAATATCACAGTTGAGTGCAGTGCACAAAACAAACAACAACAACAACCTACGCTTGCATTCATAGACAGACGTCCCCTCCCCTGAGGTGAGAAAGTATGCACGCGTGCAGCGTCTCATGGTGAATGTGACTCGTCTTCTGTGGATGTGTGGGTATATATATGTATATACATATATATATATATATTAGAAGAGATAGAGAGACGGCTGCTGAGGAAACGAAGATAAGTACGGGAAACAAGACGAGTGGAGAGAAAAGGGGAAATGCATAGGGTGGAGGGGGAGGGAAATGAAGGCCTACACGCGGGTTCCCTGTGGATGGAATCAAGACTGACCTTGTCTCCCGTATATTGCCGCATATTTATTTATTTATTTTTTGCACCTTTGCTCTTCTCACCACTTGTGTGCGTGTGTGTGTTTAGTTTCCCCGCAACCTGACGTGCTGCAGGGAAGGCGGCGACCGATGAGTCTCCTGAAGGCGGATCAAGTGCGGCGGGAACTGTTTGTCACATACAGCAGGCAAATCGCTGCACTCCTTCGCGAGACGGTGGACGGTGACCCCATCGAGACGCGCTCAGAGGAGGCAAACGGTGGCGGGGACGACGACAGGGAGGAGGCGAAGGAGCAACAGCACGAGGAAGATGCGAAGGAGGACAGAGTCGTTTCACTGTCCGAGCGTTTCCGCGTCTCGTACGCGCGGCAACATCTTCTCCGCCAACGTGCACTGCGACTGCCGAAGGGTTACACGGAGGAGGTGGATGGTGCATACCGCACCGCCTCCTCTGAGGCGGGAGATGCGACAACACCAGCCGGAGAAGATGTGGCCGCTGTCATGGTGCCTGCGGAGACTGCAGAGGAAGCGGTGGAGGAGGAGGGATGGCGGTTGGCGTACCACGAGCCGTACCCTTCGCTTCGGCGTATTATGCGGCGCGTACAGGACGAGTCCTTGCAGACGTTACTGCAGGAATCACGTGTGCCGGTAACGGCGCATCGGGACGAGGCCTACGCGGCGCAGCGCATTTCAGCTCTGCATCAAATAGAGGAACAGATAGGAAGGGAGCGCGCCACAATCCTCGCACGACAACAGAAGATGGACGGCAAGCTACACCCCATGCAGTGAGAAGCCGAGGTCGTGCGCTCACACGCCTTCTTCTCCGCTCCCTGCAGATGGATTTGAGAGAGGGGGCAGGCTGCCGTCGCTCTGCGTCGAGGACGGAGCCCGTCATGGAACACGCGTTGCCCACGTTTGCTCCCTTCTTCTCTTCACTTTCGGCGCTGCTTCTTCGCCCTCAGCTCTATGTACAGTGGAGGGACGCGGCACCAACTGCGTTGGCTGGCGAGACGCGGATTGGGGTGGTGTCCACGAAAAATGCATACGACAAAAAAGTAGAGAAAGCAACTACTACTTTGCGGCCGAGTGATCTTGGCAGGCCCGGCCACATCACTGGCATCCCAACGTGTATAGCCACGGCAAACTCTCTCTTCCTCTCTCCCTCGCCGTGTATGTGTGTGTGTGCGTGTAATGTTCTCCACCCACCCCTTTCTTATTTTTTTTCATCTCTCTCCGCTGGGGGCTGCTGGCGACACAACGACAAGTAGAGGACGAGAGAAAAGGGAGAAAGTAGCGCAGGTGAAAGGAGAAGGCAGCGATACAGGAGCACCTCTTCGCCGAAGGAGCAGAAGGCGGCGTGGTGGAAGGGGTGCAGAAGCAATCAAGAGGACCCCGCAGAAGAGGGTGGGAGGAAGGGACAAACTAGGCGCGGGCGTCCCCCCACCCCGCAGCGCGGAGCAGAAGTGCATTGCAGGCAAACATGGGCCAACCAAACGGCAAGGATTCCAAGATGGGGAGACGGGGCAGCAGGAGTGATGACGCGCCTGTTGTTGGTTACGTCCATCGTGGCAGCTCCGCAGTCAACCAACCCGTCAGATTGCGTACGGGGACCATGCGAGAGAACATTCTGCAGCAACCAGCACAGCACCGTGATCCCATGATGGAGGTAACTCTCTCCGCGTCTGGCGGCACGGGGGTTAAGCGTAATGGCGCAATTCACACGGGTGATCCATTTGTGAAGACGAAGAAGTACCCCATCGTTCTGCGCTACGCCGACAAAGATGCCAAGAAGCTGCTGTCCAACAAGCGAAGGATTTATGTTGCAGTAGAGTCGCTGGAGTGGCGCCCGGTACAAATGGCGCCCAGTGAGGATTCCTTCTACGCCATCGTTGAGCTCACGCCAGGCAGCCACCGATACCGCTTCCTCGTTGACGACGAGCAGGTCGTCGACAGCACGCAGCCCCTCGCAGACATGCCGCAGGACGGCTCCAAGGATGCCCCTGCGAATCTCCTGCAGCTTAACGAGGTTCTCTTGACGACCAAGGAGGACGAGGAGATTATGGATGACGGGGACGGGTGGGGCCAGAACCACGAGATCTTCGAGGAGACGCGGAAGTATCCGCCCATCGTGCCAGTGCACTTGCGCTACACACCACTCAACACCCCACCCACCGCCGTGCGCTGCACACGCGACGGTGTGATGTCGGCGGGCGAAGTCATGCCGCCGGAGCACCTTCCGCTGCCGTTGAATGTGACGATCAACCACGTCTACTTTCAGCGTCGCGAGGACCACTCCGTCATGGGACTGACAACACGCTACTGCAACAAGTACACTACAGTAGTGTACTACTCGAAGATGGGGGCACCGAGTGGGTGAGAGGGAGGGGGGGGGCACGCAGCCCAAACAAAGGAAAAAAAGGAGGGAGTAGGGGGGTGGGGGTGAGAAATGAGAACGAGCAGCAGTGCCCCACAAGAGTACACGTAAGCAACAGCTGAGGAATGAGACTAATTTTTATGGCGAAAAACAGCAACGAAGCAAAAAAAAAAAAAAAAATTAAACCAAAAAAAAAACGAACTGAAACCGTCGTTGATTGCTTGGAATTTGGTTAGTGGTGTGAGGTGAGGTGAGGTGAGGTGAGGTGAGGTGAGGTGAGGTGAGCTGTTTGTCTTGGGCAATGCAGGTGCGCCCGCGTGTCTTCCTTTTGTCATAGTAGTACTAGTAGTAGTAGTGTCGAAGGTGGCAAGCTTACGCGCACGTATTCCTATGTGTTTCTGCGCATTCAGATGGAGGGCCCGCACACACGCAGACGCATGAGAAGGGAGAGATGGAGGAGAGGAGGCAACATGCGGATGGGTTCTTCCAAATTATTGCCATAAAACTTACTTCCTCTCTCTCTCTCTTCTCTGCGTGGTCCTTCTCCCTCCGTTCTATCAAGCCTGTGTGTATACCGCGAGGCGTGAGGAAGAGAGAGTGGCGGTTGCACGACAACGGTGGTAACTGTTGGATTTATGCATGCATGTATTTTTGCATATAAACACACACACTTAAAAACGCTTGCGGCTCCATGTGTTGTTGTCCCCCGCGTTTTTCTTTCCTTCTTTATTATTATTATTTCTCTCTACGTTCATCGCTTATTCGGCTGTGTTACGTCGAACTTGCCTTATAAGTTGACCTCACAACTTCTGGCATTTGTGAGCAGCATCACGTGAGATATTGTGCATGTTGTGTGTTCGATCTGTGACATCTCTAACTTGCCCGATTTCTCCCTCTCTGTGTGCTCCTGCGGCGTGTAACGGTTTACTTTCCATTGGACTCCGAGTAAGCTGCGCGTGTGCATGGGACCCACTCCTGTTCTTTCACCCACTCACGGTGGCTCTATCTCTCCCTTATGTCATATACGCATGTATTCCTTGCGTGTTGTGGCGTCTTCGTTGGGTGTGGAATGAATAGGAGTGAAAAAGAGGGAAAGTTTGGTAGGGAACAACAGCGCACACTTCGCCTATTCATATGATGCTTTGCACAGCTGTCCGATGTTGCTGCTATGTCTCATTGCTCGGCGTTGCACTCCTCCTCGCCGCCTCGGTGGTCACCCGTCCTGCCGTTGGGGCGACAATGTCGGATACGCTTGCCGCCTCCCTTGCGGACGGTGCTAGAGGTGGGCTGAAGCTCGGCAGGTACGTCAGGGACAGAGTCGTCAGTGCCGTGCCTCCCGCGGCGCGGCCCCACGTTCATCACTTTCTTGCAGGAGCGACCTCAGTGGCATTGGTGGGACACGGACTTCACTCTATGCCAGGACTTTCGGGTTCCGCTGCCGCGGGCTCGACACCGTGGGCAAAGTCGTCTGGGATCACGGCTCCGTTGATGAACTTTGTCACGATTGTTACGGCACAGCCAGTTGAGAAGCTCTTCTACGCGTTGGGCGGTATTCTGGTGGAGTTGCTGATCCTGCGTCTGCTAGTGAGCTCGCCGCGGCTTCCTCTCTTTGATGGGCCCATGCGTGGCGGCAAGGCAAATGCGCGCAGGACGCTGATGCACCGACTTTTCTCAACCCATGCCGGCTGGGCACTACTCGTCCTGTGCGTTGCCGTCCCCAACGGTGTGGTTGAGGCAGGGCTGATTGTCGTCATGCTTACCCGTCTGCCACTCGAAAGCTATGCCCCAGCACTAGTGATTGGCAAACTCGCCCAGCCCTACGTTGCCGCCGCGCTGCGCGAGCTGCCGTGTGTGCAGCGCCTGATGCAAACGACACTCTGGTTCACGGCAGAGAAGGAGGCCGCCGCCTTGTCGCTGTTGCCGCTGCACAATACGGTGGTGGAGGTGACGCTGTGGGTGGTGGTGGTGGCACTCGTCCTACTGTTCGCTGCCAGGTTTGTTTGGGCCCATCCAGCCACGGCAGCCGACGAGGACAACGGCGGGGCCACGGATGACCTGATGAATGACAACGACGAGAGCAACGAGGAATAAACGCAGAACACACAAACAAAAACATGAAGAACGTGTTTAAACTTACATGTAATAAAAGAAGGACACAAGAGAGTACGAAGTAAGAAAAAAGAAGAATGTCTCTCGTGATAAACACGTGTAGAGGTGGGGAGTGAAATGAACTGAAGAAAAGGAGAAAACAAAGGCTAAGGAAGGGAGGGAGGGTTGACGTTTATGTACACAGTTGGGTAGAGAGTAGGTGAGATGTATCCGTGTTCGTGGGAGAGGCAAAATCGGCACCGTCCACCTCGCTTATTTCTCTTTTGTCGCTTTGTGGAATTGGCCCCTCAACACAACCCCTCATGTAATGCCGTTGTCTTTGTGTCTTTGTGTGTGTGTGTGTACTGGTGGAGAAAAAGAGGGGAATGTTTCAAGGAGCCTTCCTTTTCTTTCTTTACAGATGTGTGGCGGGAGAGGGAACGGGCTACTCGCCCTTTGTTGGGCATCGCCATGGAGGTGGTTTGGATGGCAGAGGGTGCAACGAAGTGGCCTCACCGCATAGAGAGAGAAAGAGAATGTGTGTACGTGTACAAACAGGCAAACAGAGGAGAATATATATGTGCGCGTTGCGTGTTCTCGACGCTCAATGGATCTTATCTGTCCATCTCTGTCCCCTTGTCTCTCCCAGTGGCAATTTTCCAGATGCGCTGTTGTCTCTCCTACCCGCCTTTCTCTCTTCCCCATTCTCTCACTTATTTCATGCCTTTCTCTTCCCGCATGCCCACGGTGGAAAGCACAGTTAGCGTACGACTTCACTGTCATTTAACC